ACATCTGATGAAAATTTCATGTCATTAGCACCTCTAGTAATATATTTACTGAGAAAAATGGTGACATGTTCAGTACTTATTTTACCCGCTGTAGTTCCCCTGCGTTAGTTAATGGTCCTGTGTGTTGTAGGTGCCTTTCCTCCTTGGCTCCAAGATGATCCTTTGGAGGGGTCCTCAGAAGCTGCTCCCCAGGCAGAGATCGGYCCATCGCTCCAAGAGTTCCTCAAACAGAGTATGTTCTGATTGACATCACATTGTTTGTTGTAACATGGGTTTCTGCCTTTTGCTATGACCTAAAACTAATCCTGAAACTTGAGGGAAAATATTATTTGGTTTGGTAATAAAGTCAGCCACCATTTAAAATAACGAACTTTAACAGAACTGTGAAGCAACTGTGTATCGACAAGTGTTTCCTGTCTTTTGCCAGAGGAGCAAGAGAAGCTGAGGAAGCTTCCTCCGAACAGAGTTGGGGCCAACTTTGATCACAGCTCACATACAGACGCCAACTGGCTGCCCTCGTTTGGAAGGGTTTGGAACAGTGGGCGGCGCTGGCAGTCCAGGTCAGTTCACTCAAGTCTTTGCAATGGTTAAAAAAAAAGGAAAAACAAGACAATGCAGGAATATTTGTGTGTTGTATGTTCGGTGAAGCTTATAAAGAKGAGTGTTTCCACAGTCTGTTAATTTCTTGCCCCCTCAACAGGCACCAATTCAGACAAGAGGAAGGTCAGAAGAAAAAACAGAAGAGGAAGCGGGAGCAGCACGGCGCAGAGGCCTCGAAGAAAACGAAACTGAATGAACAGCCAACAAACTCTGACATGTAAAATATGATGCCCTGGAACTCAAATAATAATAATAAATAAAAATAATAATAATACATTTTATTTGAAGGTGCCTTTCATGGCACTCCAGGATACTGTATAATTAAAATACAATATAAAATGCAGCAAAAAACTAAATAATGGACAAAAAAAAGTCATTTTGTTACCTTACTGATATGTTCAAATTAACAAAACAATACATTTTGAAAATGTTTTAAGCMTTTATGTTAATATAAATACTTGCAGTGACGGTGTTTACTTGGTCTAACAATTTGTAGCTATTTGCAGTTTTTGTTTATGTAGAACACATTTGAAGCTAGTTTCATATTTTAACAAAACTCCATATTACACTGTTACACTTATTTGGTTCAGAGTCAGAAATGCAGAGTTTGTGTTGTGKCCTAATTTGTCTCTGAGCTGCAGCATCAAATCAGTGGATTCAACTCATGTCCTGCATCTTTATCAAAATTGTAGAAAAAAGTGAGAATAGCGGAGCTGTTTTATAAAATGACCAGCAGGGGGCGCAAAGAATCTTACAGAATTAATTTGCTGCCTTGTAAGTTTGACTAATTCTGTTTTTATTATTATATGGGGGGAAAATGTATCATTTTTGTAACTCACATAGGAGTGGTGGTATTCCAGGTGTTTCTTTTTCATATTTGACAGGCAAAGAATATGTACACTCAATAATAAATGCTCATTTCCCTTTTTAGAGCTTGTTATTCAGAGAATTACTGTAAAAACCTGGGAGATGCAAATGAATGAATATTTGCTTCTAAACAAGGAAAATATTTTAAATCTTACCCAAATAAGTAGGTTAAAAGTGGGTATAAAAATGTTAATTTTCTAATGGATAACAGTTGTGTAGAGATATACTTTAGGAAAATGGTCAACCTAAACCTGATGTCTTAAGGAAATTGCAACTAGGCTTCAGGACACATCCACGATGGATGTTCTTGGTTACTTGTAACAACTGTAGTATGTGAAGCAAACATGCTATTTAGTGCTTTGCCCTGAAATTGTACCTTGCTGCAGTAAATTATTCCAAGCAGGCATTATTTAGCCTTATAAAGAGTCACTTCATGACAAGTTCTGTAGTTTAAAAATGGCTGTCTGTGCTTGATCTGCTAAAAGGAGTATTGCCAAGAGCAGTAAACGCAGTGTCCTATATTTCACTCCTTGTGCTCACAGGCCATTTTATCCTTTCAGGCCTCTACATGGCAGAGTGTAATAAGGCCTCAGTGTGCTGTGGAGGGATGGGCGTGGAGTCTGTGCAGCTGCAAGGCAGTATGGGGATTCAACGTGTAGCTGATCTATTCTTAGCTCCGTGACAACATGGCTCTCGTTAATTCAGGACAAATGGGAGGAAATGAAAGGGATTACCCTACAGCTTTTAAAGTCAGATGTTGCTGTCATGTGGTCTTAGAATGTATTTTCTTTTTTATAATATTATTCGCTTTCTGTCAGAACAAAAAATTGTTTATGTTAATGCTAAATAGTAAAGGATTTAGTTTGTGAACGTCAGCTCAAACCCTGGCAATGAAGTCTGGGAGGGTAGAAAAAAGCACGTGTACTGGGTGGACCTTAAAGTAATCCGTMAACCAATCGCAGAATAGAAAYTTTGAATGAAATCTGCATAATTTACAACGGACCTGTTCTCTGAGCRCTGATTGGATAAGTGGAATAACGACAGCCAATGGTATAAAGGGTTAGCACCCAGCTGGYCGCTAAGTCCCGCCTCCCTCGTAGTTGTCAGCAAACCCCGGAAATGTCTCTTAAAGAGACAGAGCCAATTTTTTTTTTTTTTTGAAAATGTTCCAGCAACGAAAACAGCTGCGAACACACAGAAAAGACAAGACACGTTGAGGATAAGGACGTAGCTTCGACAGCCAAGAACCAAGCTTTGTGGYAGGACAGAGAGAGAAGATAGAGCCGAAACAGTCCGAGCCTTGTTAGCAACGCATATACAGCTAATGTGGCTAACTTCTGGCTTCAGTCTTCTGCTGTTAGCCACCTGGAAACCGACAACGTAGCAGTCAACAGACGACAGTCAGAGAGAGAGATAACAAAAAAAGGCCAAACTCCGAGACGACAAGGACTCGTACAGTTCTGGCTTCGTTCTCCCTTCTGAGCTCATCTGTCTTTGTGAGGTTTGTGACCAGAATGTCCATACTTGTATTTTTTTGTCTAGTAGTTGTGTTTTTATTGTTATATGTCTGTCTGTGTGAACTTGTACTGTAGAGGAAAATGGGACAAAAGCTCGGGTTCATTAACAAGTAATTCCCGCACGCTTCAAGAGAAATGCTCGTCCTAAAAGCATGCAGGTGGTTGCAGTCGTCATTTTTCACATTTGCAGGCGACAACAAACAAACAAACAGTGTCTGGAATCCAGCCCGAGACAGCTGATGACCTGACAGGAGAGCTTGTAGAGGGGGGGGGGCGTTCCCCCCAGCTTTGTCTTCCCTTTTTATTCTCACTTTCTTTATGTCTTTGCATGCAAGACTGTAGCGAGCAGAGAAAGAGTTCAAGAAATCCCAAATGTTTTAATCACCTCATTTCCTTTATGTGCATCTGGCATGAAAATGCACGTGTTTATCTTTATTGTAATTTAACACTCTCTTGAGGTTTCATATTTGAGCAAAATAAAAAAAAATAGAGATGAACAAGCAGTGTCATTAAATGTGAAATTATGACTTGGGTTTAACATTATAGGTAGTGGTCAGCACTGAAAAGCTCACTGGAGGGAGACTAGCATTRCAGTGTGTATTGTTCACTTGCATTGCACTTGGGAGTTGCATTGCATCATGCAGTGAACAGGCCAGGGCACTGAAACCAAATTTGTAAAGTCTTTCTTTTTTTTTTTTTCTACATTTGATTGCATTGTTCTCAGTGACTCCCATTGTTCAGATAAGCATGCCTTGCTGGCTTGGATATACACATTATGCACATGTGCTTGCAGTCTCACTGTATCACCCATGCACGTGCATATGGGAAATCCTGCACCTGCCCTACGTGTACATAAGCAGAGAATTTTTGCACACGCAGACATGTCGTGCACRTAGCCACACTGCAGTAGCAAAGTGCATGCTTTGCTCACAGATCCTACCCCCCACCTCTCTGTCTGGGAGAAAGCAGTAGGCTTTGTCCTCAGCTGAGCGTGACGTCATGCAGATATTTGCTGTAATCAGCCCTGAAGGCAGTGTACATGATGTTCACGAGTCCTGGGTCCGGGGCTCGTCATGTGCTGCAAATCACCTAGACTCAGGTTGCCAACACGCCGGGAAAGAAGCTGTTACTAATGAACGCAGTGCGTTCAGGTGAGGGAGTGGATTCAAGAAAATCATTTTCATTTCAAAAGAGAGTGAATAAAAGAAGAGATCAAACATGGAAAACTGGTAAAAGCACAGAAGAACAGCACCTTCAGGAATCCCCAGCAATGACTGCTCCGTTTTCCTGCTTCAACATGGATTCTGCTTCTCAGACCCTTTTGAACATACTGCTCTGTGAAGAACATTAACTTATGCAAGACRCAGTTTATGACTGGCTGGGTGTGCCTGCTCTCATTTTAATTTATGGAACCACAAGTGTGTAAATTAGAAATTGATTGTTATATGGTTGACACTTACTTGAGGGTCCAGAGGTGGTTTTTATTCTGTTTTGTAAAATAATTCTGTACCTTGCATTTAATCCAGGTACACTTTTATTCATAGGTAGGTCATCTGATAATCTGTGACTCTTAAGGGACACCATTCATCTTGTTGTCCTCTGTGTGTCCAGCCTGTCTTTCTTTGCACCTCCTTTTATTGTTTGTTACCCAATGGTTACAGTCTATGGCTGTAATTGTTTTATTTATTTCATGTATTTATTTAATGTATTTATTCTACCCGGCAGTGTTCTGTGTATCAGGAAAATGGTGGCTAAACAATTTTGAGAGCTTGTTGTGAGTCCTCCCAACGTGTTTCTGCAGGATTTGATGCCAGAGATTACAGATGATTATGTAGGTTAGATCCAGTGCTCATCAAGGCTCTGGGGCTGTATTGATCTCTAAGGCAGAGGTTCTCAAACTGGGGTCCACGAGAGGTATCTTGGGGGTCCTCAAACATTTTTACTAAAATTTTAATTTGGTTTTTATTTTTAAAATGCATGGAGAACAATGAACTAATAAAACAAACATAATAAACTTAATAAAAATATATATTCCCATGGCGTTTAGGGGTTGAAATGACAATAAATTATCTTTTAAAACAGCATTTGGTTTATGAGGGGGTCCCTGGAATTTTTTTCACTCTTGAAAGGGGTCCCCAGACCCAAACGGCTTGAGAACCCCTGCTCTAAGGTATAAATGTGACTGAATATGTGCAAAGAACTTCAGTGAAGCTGTACAGAAAAAAAGGAATACTAACTCACTACTTTTTAGTTTTTCTTTTTGTATAAAAATAGTAACGTGCTGCCAGTGATGTGCGAAACTCAAGGTCCGTCTTTGCAACTCATTTTCCGCTGCACTAAGCAAAAGCTTGTTTATTTCTAATTGTGTTTTTATTTCAGTGTTGGAAAGCCAGTTCTAGTAATGCTCAATAAACTCACTCACCTTTTAGGCTGAGATAAAAGAGCACCATAGGAGCATAACTGAGAAAACAGCTTATCTGGATGTCTTCAGACTTTGAGGTGTGGAGATTATTCTGGAGTGGTCTGTCCAAAGCCGATAACAACCTGACCGAAATCCACTTTTTAAACTTCCTGTTTTCTCAGCATCTTCATTTCCTGAGCTTCCATAGGAGGTAGCGGTTACAAAGCTTTGAGTCATGCCTCTTTAAAAAAACATCTGAACAGCCCCCTGTGAGGCTCTGTGTTCAAGTCAATAGGGCCCATGGGCATGCCTCCTTAACCCTTTAATCTGCAGCTGTACATATTCAGAAATGCATAAACCAGTCTAGCCACTGGCTTGCCTTCAAAGCCTACAGCAGTCTTTACAAAAGTGGAAGTTGTTAGTCATTTTAAAAACCTGCAATTTCCCTGTTTTTGTAAATCTTGTTCTCTCAGCTCTGTCTCAATTAGTTAACTTAATTTATAGCAAAGTGAAGAAAATAGTTGTGCCATCAACGATGCTTGAATTGGTAAAGTGCTTTTAAAAATTGCTTTAGTGCTTTCAAGAGTCCTCAGCAGTTTGAACTAATATAAAAAACTCCCAAAATAAGATCTTCATCTGTGTGGAGTTTTTATTTATTGATATTTGATCCGAATCAAGCTATTTACCTCATTTTTTACTTTTAAGTTCATGCTAAGGAGCTAAAACAGGCCATGCAGTAGATCATCTTGTTCAGACCACTTGAGTCATATTTGATTGGCGTTAAATGTGTTTCTGTCTATTAATCTTGCAAGCGGTAGATGCTGTTTGGATTCTAAATGATGGACCTAAAGATGATAAATGACAGGACAAAGAGAGCTGCAAACACTGAGTTTATGGCATATATTTAGAAGCATAAATTAGTGTGTCAGCACACGTTGTCCTTTTGACGGATTTGTACAGCAGTAAAGCAGTGGTTGAAAACTACAGTAGGAGGAAACTATTGCATCTTTGATTCGTTTGGTATTTTACATTTTGCACAGCTGTCGTCTTAACTTCATGTTTAGCTGTAAAAGATGCCTTTTTTAATTTTAACTTAATGTTTTAAACTTGGATGAAAACAGAAGAGGAATAAGAAGAGTTTAGCA